AGGTATAGCAGGGCAGAGGTGGAGATTGTAGCCCAGGACAGAAGATACAGAGGCTTTATTTTTAGACCTAGAAATTAACTTAAAAAAACAAAATGACAAAACAGACAAATAAACACCACCACCACCACCACCACCAACAACAACAACAACAAATCTAAAGAAATTACAAGCATAACACACACTCCTTAAAAAAAATTGATAACACAACTTTTTGGCCATAATGAACAAACAACAATGTGATATTAAGCTTACATCATAATTACTGAGCATCTGCTTTATGTTTTACAAGAGAAATCTAGATCTAGGCCTACCGAACAGAAGAAAACTAGTCCGATTAATTGTGAAATAGTGAAACAACAACAACAACAACAACAACAGCAACAACAATAATAATACAATCTGACAAGTCAGACTAGACTACTCACAAGGCAAGTTGGGAAGAAATTGCACTGGTCTGGCCTATAAAGTTTTTAAAAAGTTCAGAACGTTACTTTTTATATCGATTTTGGGACGCTGATCACGTAAAATTATGACAGTGAAATTAATTTCATTACGCACATACACACACACACACACACACACACACACACACACACACACACACACACACACACACACACACACGCACGCACTCTTTCCTCACACGTCCTCTCTTCCACACACATGTGTGCACATAACCATAACAATACAATAGTACACTTGCACTCACAGACTCACTGTCACATGCACCATATAAGTGAACAGTAACTGGTCACTTTTAAGGACAAGCGGGCTAACCAGAGATTTTGGGAGTTTCCAGGAATCTTGACCTACACCAAAAGTGGACATTGCCCTACCTATAGGAGAAGATTGGTTTCATTGGTGTGTATATTTGTTTGGTTATAGAGAAAACTCTCCTTGTCTTTTAAAGAGACTGAATAAGGGAAAAAAATTACCTTCGAACTTCTCAAAACAGCGTTTTTCGAGATAGCCCCTTTGTGCTTAAAAGCGACACAATTATAAATATTACTAGTGTTAAGGTAGATACGAACTCAGTACATGTATTCTGATTGTAACTAAAATGTTATTCTGATGCATGCTCTAAGGTCGTAAGTATACTTATACAAGATGGTTAAGATGGAAGCATTTTGATGGATGATGGTAAAATTGACCTTCTATATCTTTCTTTGTTACAGATCAGAAGCCTAGGTCTTTTACTTCTGACTGATATTTTTATTTGTGGGAATAAGGTATGTTTGTTGTCTAAAAAGATGGGATTACTTTGTCTAGTGCAAGCTATAATCAAAGATCGTACATAACAAGATGGTCCAAAAAAGTGTCCGCGGAAGTCCGCGCATTGCTTCTGATGTCGCTGTAGTCTTTGTTTTGAAGCTCTCTTTCGTTTTTTCAGAAGAAGAACTGGACCAGTACCCCCATGCGTGCGCAGATCGACTGCTGTTCATCAGCTGTCCGGGTTCGTTCACTGCGGAGTTTTAGGTTTTTAAACAAATTTTAATGACCTCTCGCCTCTCATTCTTAGGTCAAATTAAACGAAGAAAACAGTCGTCCCTCCCACCGGAAGAGGTTTTTTGTCAGCGTAACCATTTTTAAAAAGCGTTCTTCCGAAATTTGAATTCCAATTTATTCAGGAACTTGGTAGTTTCACTTTGAACTCTGTTTGCAAAGTCCTCGCATGTGCGAAGAGGGCGCCACCGAATTTTGAGGACACTTTTTTAAATGGTTCAAAGAAAGGAGTGAGCTTTTTTGTTATGTACGATCGTTGCTATAATGTAAAATTCTTCCAAATAGGAAACGAGCATGACGAGGGACATTTTTCCCCGTCCCCGCCTCTCCTTCCGTCCATAGACACACCCATGTTTCTACAGCAGTGGGAGAAAAAGTGGTTTGTAAAAGGGTA